CTCTCTCTCTCTCTCTCTCTCTCTCTCTCTCTCTCTCACACACACACACACACATAGTGATTTGGCTTTGAAGAAAAAAAGGAGTTTTGGAGCACAGAGGGCATAAATGTAGCATCTCTAACCTACTTCTCAATGTCTTTTCCTGAGATAGTACAGGAGCTATGCAGGGCAGTAGCACAATCTAGGGAAAAGATGCAACAGTTTAAAAGAACTGCCAACGGGTGTTAGGTGAGTACCCTGCACACTCAAAAACAAAATTTCTCCTTTGAATCTAAAGAGCTGCACAATCTGTGTGCATTTATGTGTACATGCCAGTGTGTATATGTGTACATCAGCCTATACACAAATAAGATAAATGTATTTCTCTCTTTCTTTCTCAAACATACCCATATTGAAAATGCATTCTTCAGAAAGAATAAAAGATTAACATTTTGGTGAGTTTTTATTATTAAATATATTATCAATCATTTTGCAGATTTTACCTCAGAGTGAATTGTTTATAGAGCACCTTTAATGCAAAAAAAAAAAAAAAGCTCAGTCACCTAGGTATGAAAGTATTTCAAGCATTACACTCATAATTCAATTCAATATTTACAAATATAATTGGCAATATCCGTTTTGGAAGTTCTCTCTTCAATTATTAGAGGACAACATTTATTAAGAGAATAAAAATTTACCATTCACCTAGATGACAAGAGCACAAGCAGACACCAGTCCACATATTTGCACAAGGTTGTCCATCTAGCAAGACACCATCATCGTCACCACAGAAGTTTACTCACCTTACTAACTCATCTACTAAAACAATGTTTCTAAACTACATATGCAAAACTGTATTTTCAACACACTGAATGTTCTATCATCCCCTGGCTTCCAATCCTAACACAGGTGTAGAATATTCAGTCAGTCCATAAGCATTCTAGAGATGTTGTTATGCAGAGGAAGGAATGACTTGATATAATACTAATATTTCAGAGAAGGGTAGGGAGATTAAATATGATGGCCATAGCAAGATTCAAAAACTAAAGCAAAAACAATTATGAAGGTTTGTGAGATCATACACTTGCACTTGAAATTATTTTCACTTGTATTTTTGCTTAGCTTTGTCCTTGTACACACACACACACGAGGTTAGAAAACAAAACATGGAGTTACTTTTATGGATAACACAAAGACTGCAGCTAGTGCAAAGTGTGGCAGCTTGGTAATTATTACTTGGAGATGGAATACTAGCATTAGTACTAGTGATTGGTTTTGGAATTCATTGATCAGGAATAGAACTCCTGTATCAGCAGAAAATGTGCCTCCTCTAAACACTATTGCTAAAAATGGATATCCTAGGTTCCTACCATTTCACGGGACCAAACCATGAAAATTATAACATAGCGGTTCTCAAACATTTTGGTCTCAGACCCCTTTACATTCTTAAAAATGATTGAGGACCCCAAGGAGATTTGGTTTATGTGGGTTCTATCTACCAATATATAGTGTTAGACATTAAAACTGAGAAATGTTAAAATATTGATTCGACTTCACAGACCCTTTGAAAGGGTCTCAGGGGCCCCCAGACCACTGAGAACCACTGCTGTAGTATTAGCTCTGTAACAGGCACATCACAGAGGGGGAAGGAAGGACCCATATAATGAATCCGTCCATATATGAGCTGTTCTTCTTAATTCATTCTATGGCTCTTGTAAAAAAGTATAAAGAATCTTTGCACCAAAAAATTGTTTTCCCCCTCTCCTCATATATGTTCTGAGTGGCTTCTTTTCTGGTTGGCAATTAGTGTTCTGCAAACACTTTAAAAAAATGCTTTACAATGTGTATGTGTGTATGAAGCACTTCTCTTCATAAAGCAAACGTGTCTTTTTCTACCTCCATGGGGCCATAAGCTCCTCTCAGATCTCATTTCATTTCACTTTTTTCCCCAGCAAAGGCGAATGGCCGTGCATACATATATATGCAGAGACAGTCAAGAACAATTTACAAAACTGCCGTGTGAGCATGGCAAGGGATAGAGCTGCTTTACTGATTCAAAGAGAGGTGCTTCATACATGCTCTTGCAAACTGTGAAATATCTCTTTTGAAAGATTTGAACAGCCTTATTCCCAACACTGGGAACTGTGTTGTAAGAACTGAATTTCTTATGAAATTCCCTCCCCTGGAAATCTAGTTGTACAAAAATTGGTTTTGCCCCAGCACCTGGTCAAAAACCAGTTATACATGCAGATTTTTAAATCTTTGAGAGTGGAGATTAGTAGCATATTCTTTTGACACGTTCATTTCATGCTGATGATTCTTCTGGTTCTTTCCATGCATACAGACTTTCATATTTATGGTTGGTTTGCTGAATTAGCCACTGTTTTGCTAACTATATTCATCCTGAGACTTATAAATATATGGCAGGCTACAAATAAAAATTTTTTTAAAAAAAACCACAGACAAATCATTTCCCTATTACCAATATTTGGACCAATTATTACAAACTTTTAAAAAGAAATTAAGAGATGGCATTTTCACTCTTCTACTTTGTTTTTTAGTCTTTCCACTCAGATAGCAGCTGAATGAGCTATGCTTATTACAAACCTTGCTTTTTCTTATAACCCCACAGAAATAATGAACATGTAGAATTATATAACTCCTATCACCATTTAGAAAATCTCAGCAAAAGCATGCAATTAATAGACTTTTTCCTCTTACAATGTTCTTAAATTAGTAACAGTGCCATCAGAGACTGAATTGGCAACCTAGATATAATTGTACTGATAGATAGATAGATAGATAGATAGATAGATAGATAGATAGATAGATAGATAGATAGATAAACATGTTTATCTAATGACTTTCCTCCTTACAATGTAGTACCAGGATAAATGCTTTGTTTGATTTTATAAAAAAATATCAGTGTGTTAGCCTATGGTCCTTTGTGGTTAAAATCATCTTTAAATCATCTTTATAAAATCATCTTTATAGCTATTGTAAAAAAAAAAAAAGATTTTAAAGATAGATTTAAATTGAACTCTTACTCTAGGGTTACAACATAACTCATTTTTTCTATCATCTAATATTTTTCCTGATCATCAAACCCATGTATCATAATTTCATTTTTTTCTGTTTCATGCAAAAAGTCCAAAAGGGGTTTCCAATCAGCATTAAACTTAATCAGTGTGTTTTCTCTGATCAAAGCTGTCAGTTTAGCCATCTCAGCAAGCTCCATCATCTTCATGATCCACTCTTCCACTATGGGTAATGACAAATCCTTCCACAATTGTACATATAAGTTTTGCTGCTGTTATTTTTATTTATTTATTTATAAATTTATATATGCCACCCATCTCACTGTACAAGTGACTCTATCATGAATCATGTATAAAAACAAAGTTCCATGTGTTTTTTCCAACTCTTTGTCAATCAGTCCCAAAAGAAACATCTCTGGCTTCAATTGTATATTAATCTTTAAAATTTTCTGAATTAATGTATGTATTTGGATCTATGTTTTAAAACTTTTTCACATATCCACCAAGCATGATAAAAAGTCCCCTCTAGTTGTTCAGATTTCTATTTATAAATTTATATATGCCACCCATCTCCCTGTACAAGTGACTCTATCATGAATCATGTATAAAAACAAAGTTCCATGTGTTTTTTCCAACTCTTTGTCAATCAGTCCCAAAAGAAACATCTCTGGCTTCAATTGTATATTAATCTTTAAAATTTTCTGAATTAATGTATGTATTTGGATCTATGTTTTAAAACTTTTTCACATATCCACCAAGCATGATAAAAAGTCTCCTCTAGTTGTTCAGATTTCCAAAAATTGTCTAAAATGTATAAAGTACTTTGAATGTAAGTACCTTTATACATTTTAGACAATTTTTCTGGTGACAAGTTCCAATGATACATCATCTTATAAAACATTTTCTTAAGATTATAACATAATGTAAATTTCAGTCCATTCATTCATTCATTCATTCAATTTCTCCCCCGCCCATCTCCCCCAAATGGGGGGAACTCTGGGAGACTCACAGAAAACATTAAAATCATAAATATATATAAATACATAAAACATCAATTTAAAAACATTACTAAAAAAAGAAAGGGAGAGTCCAAGAGATGAAGAATCTGGGGCTGAAGACAGCAGGCCTTTATGGGGCTAGCAATCCCCACGCTTGAAGTATTCCCTCCCCACCCAAGGCCAAGTGGCAGAACCAGGTCTT